TGATAAATTCTTACATCATTATGTCCCTATAATCTCATGCTTAAATGTAAAATGCTGTATTTCAGTTTAAAATGCAGTGTATATCATTTAATTAAAATAAGACAGCCATTCCTTAAGGAATTAGAGGTTAGTAGAACAATAGGTGTCAAAATAACAAATTCAAATTTGAAAAAAAAATACAAAATGAACTATTTAACAAAATTGTTTATACTAAAAAAGTGAACCAACAAAATGTTTATTACTAACATGTATTAAATCAGTAGTGGTATATTCTAAGAAACAAAACCTTCTACTATTTTTATATGTTCCTTTCTTATCACCTCTCAGGCTTCATTCATTTTTAACATGTTTGAGATCATTTTCCAAAGAAAATATTTTGGTAGTCAGTTGTCTAAACCTAATACCCATCAAAGAGAATTGTGAATAATAAAATTATCTAGGAGAAAAAGCCAAACACAGTTGATTATTAACACAACAGTTTCTCGGGTCACTGGTAATGTTGGAAGAGCAGCACTCCATGCAGTTTTCAGGAATTAAGTTCTCACATTTTTCTATCATCCAATAGCCGTTGAAAGCTTGGCTAAGTGAAATGGAATTAATGAAGAATTAATTGGAGGTTATAAAATTCACCCTATCCGAGCTGTTTTGCAATGATTCCTGGGTGAAGCTGGATCATATGAGAGCTATATATTGGACATCATTTAATTTCCTTCCTCTCCCCTTTTTCCAAAAAAAAAAAAAAGTTTTGCTACTTTGGATTTTAGAATGATGTCATTGCTTTGTCTAGAAGGATATTTTAAGAAATACTTATAAGAAGATGTTTTATAAAGATGATATTCATTATGTCACACAGTGTCCTCTTTGGAGAGTAGATTTGAGTATTATTTTCTTTAGTATTTTTAGCAGGACTCTTTCATTTTCTATCGGGACGGCTTGCTTTTCTCTGTTGTTTTGGTCACTGCATTTTTCAATTCCCCTGCACTGCTGAGTGTTTACAGTGGAATTTGAAGCTCCTTGTTTGTGAGGGCAGTGACTTCACAGGCAAATTTTGTGAGTCATCTTTGTTCCTGAATATTTACGTTTTAAAATTCATCTTCACTTGTCTCATCTTTCTAACTTTTTAAACAGATTTTATCTTCCTTCCTCATCTGTAAGGCAAACTTATTTTTTAGGAAAGGCTGAATTTAAAGGTGTAAATACCTCAAAGTAAGAATGTGAAAGAACAAGAAGACGGTAAAGCCCGGAGGCCTGTGGTTTGGTCTGGTGTTTTGGAACAGTGTGTTTTTTCTCATCTGCGTGTTTTCCCTGTGATTACTGTCCAGTCAATCACAACCTCAGTCACACCTTAGGCTGTATTTGTGAAGCGGAGAGCTGGCAATTTACCTGATTTAATTTTATCAATGGAAACAGTCAATCTTGATAATTTAGCCTGCTAATTTAACTTTGTCTACATTGATGAAATTAACTGACATACTGCCAAATCCCTCCCCTTTTCTTTTGCTGCAGAGAATTCAAAAGGAAAGCAAAGGAGAGAGAGAGAGAGAGAGAGAGAGAGAGAGAAGGGGGAAAAGAGAAGAGGGAGGGAGGGAGGGAGGAGAAAATTCACTTTCTTATTCAGGTTAAAGATATCATTTAATATTTTGGCTAAAAGGAAGCAGAGATATGTGAAAGATTGCTAGCTTTTCTATTCTGGATTATGGAACATATCACTAAACTGAATTGTCACCATAATATGACACAGTAGAAAAGAGTATAGGCTCTGGGAACAAAATTCAGGGGTTCCTATTTCCATTCTAGTATGTGTGGTTTTTTGGGGGGGATGGGGGGAGACTTGATTTCTTTGTAGGTATTTGCTCCTAACTAAAGAACATATATAAAGTCATATGACATGGATATCACTAATCCAATTTGATGGGAGATAAAGCTACTGTTAAGATAGGCATGGGGGGTGTGTGAGACTAACAGGGACACAGAAGACTAACAGGTTCATCAGATATAGGTGTAGATTGATTCATCACTCTTAGGAAAGTCGCTGGCAGTGAAAGATTTTGGAATGGGGGGAAAAACACTAAAAACAAATCAAAACAAAAAACCCTAATTTTCCCATGTACTGCAGGATTTGAGGTAGTTACAACTTCATAAGTTGTAGATAACTGACAGCAATTAAAATAACATCTGGTTATAGAAATGCAATTGAATTCTACCCCAGGAAAGAAGTACTGATTCCTGGACAACATCCCCCCACCCCCAACCTCCATGGAAAAAGGTAGTTTTGCATCTATTTGTAAATTTATTTCAGCATTCTTGATTCACGTATAATGTGTGTGTTTAGAATTTTGAATTCTACTTCGAATTGGTTGTAACATCTTACTAGTGTTCTCATTAAAGAGTTAAATAAAATATTTGATGTGTTCATTTGATATTCACGTTTCATGATATTACATTTTTACAAATAGTTATTCTTTAACACCAATACATTTTGTTTTCAATAATGCTCCTGTTCATACTTATTAAACATGTTTTAGCAGCACTTAATAGCATCACAGCACAGATTTATGTTAGCCATCCTTTTATAAGTATCTATGTCTTTTATTTAAGAGCACCTAATTGTGAACAATCAGTAAACACAATTTTATATTCTATATGTATATATGTCATAGAAAGATACCTTAAAAACATAGTATTTAGTGATTCAATGGATATGTAGGATGGGTCTTTTCATCAGTCTTATTTTAAAAACCAGTGATATTAAAGAAACTTTAAAATTGAAATTACGATGATCATAAGTGCTTATGAGCATCCTTAAGGGAAAGAACCCTGGCAGGAGAGTGTGGCTACATGAAAGCAGAGCTTTGGTGAAACAATTAATTTTTACTTTAAATGTCAGCCTGCAAAGTACCAGACTTCAGAAAAGATGCGTAAATTGACATCTGAGCAAGAATGAATGAGTTTATTCACTTTACCAATGGTGGCTATTTACAATTTTTGAAGTCTTTATTAAGTCATAGGGTAAAAAATATATCATTGTTTGCATTCTATACTTTCTTCTGATCACCAAGAATGACCATCATTTCATATGTTCTGATTATTTGTATATCTTCATTTTGTCTCTTTATACCTTTGCTTATGTTAAAAGTCAAGACTTAACTCTTTTGTGTTCTTCCTTGAGTAGCTAACAAAAATCTAAATTTTATAAGCACAAATTGTGTATATTGTACTCACACCTATAAAGTCTCTTGGTTACATTATTAGTCTGTTATAACCACTGGAGATAGAGCATAGCTAATTTTCATAAAGAAGTTTGACAATATCAACTGATTGGCTCTACAGATTCTTTATAATAAGTTCCAAACTCTTTCTTCTCCCTGTCATCAAACTTGCCAAATTACAGCTCTTCACTTCTTCACCTGCATGCACACCCTGGCCCCTGTCATCTGATTTGTACTGTCCGCACAGCACTAAAACTTCTCTCAAGAAGAAGCCTTTCATGACCTTTCAAATACGATGGGCATTTTTCTGTCCTCACATTTAAAGACTCTACTCCCTTGGACTCCTTGCCTACAACCTTCCTGGCCCTTCATTACTCTCAGCTCTTCCCTGAAAGGTCATCATCTCCCAGGGGTCCGAATTCAGCCTGCAACAATTCTTATGCTACTGTACCGGGCGGGAGCATGGCAGGAGACAGATGGCATACCACCCAGCCTTTTAATTAATGAGTGAAGTTTAGTGAAGGTACTGTCTATGAAGGGGTAAAGCAGGGTTTAGGGAAATCAACTGAGGATTGTTCAGAACTGTAGAGCAAGCAACAGTAGGGAGATTTTATCCTCCCTATACCTGAAGCAGCTCCGGGATGCCAGAAGGGGCTGTATGAAGACACACGCACCTGCTGGAACTGTGGCCTTTGACTGAGGATGACACTCCATCGTTGGTGATCCCTTGACCCAGCAGGGAAGGAGCTCAGGGAGTAAAACACCTGTTTCCACTTTCCTCTGTCTTTGATTTTCTCTTAGTGTCTCCTACAGATGGTGCTCACCAAAACCTCATGGACAAGAGAGCCCCTGGAGACAGTCTACTCAGGTCAGTGTTCTGGGTTCCAGAGCACATGAAAGGCAAATAGAAGACAGGAAGTGGTACAACATGTCCTCATCCCTCCCTCTGTTTTCACCTACAACAAATACGATGAGAAAATTAACATTAACTGTGGACCAGTGGTGCCCAAAGCTGGCTGTCCCTGTAATAACTTCAGACATTGTTTTTTTTTTGTTTTGTTTTTGATAAATACATTTTTTTAAAAAAAGAAATGTCCAGCTCTCACCCCAATAAATTTTATTTTAATCAATCTGAAGTTGGGGCTAAGCCTTAGTAATCTTGAAAAGTGAGTTTCCTAATGTGCAGTCAGTGCTGAGAACCAGTTTTAGGCTTAAAATCTGCATCACTTTCACACTCACATATGCCACTGCCTGCTAAAAATCTCCACCTAGATTGCCCATAGGCATTTTAAGCTGTGCGTGTGCAAACTAAATGTTATATTTTTCTTCAAATACATTACCTTTTTACTATAATTTTTTAAATCTTGGTTGGTGACATTACTCTCCAGCCAGGATCTTAAGATAATAATGTAAGATTCAAAATGCCCTAACAATTAATTGTTTGTAGTTCTCTGTACCTACTAAATTCTTATCCTTCAACTGCATTTCCTTCTTCTTTGAATAAATAAACAACTACTCTGCTCTTAGTATGCATGCACCATTCTAAACCTTCCACAATTATTCCTAAGGTGTTTTCAAACTTTTGTTTCAACATATTTTATACATAAGCAACATTTTTAAAACTCTAATTAAATGCCTCAGGTACTCCGCAATGAGTGATAAAACAAATTTCAGCATGTAAAAAAAAATTTGGCATTAATGTCTATTGATACTAATTATTAAATAACTTTGAAATAAAGAAATTTCATACATTTGAATTTATAAAAATACTAACAAACTACGGTTGTTAGCTTTTTGTATCATGTCCTAATGTGTTTATGCGTACAACATTTGCTTTAGATAAAAAAGCTTCTGCTGCTCAAAATTTTCAAATGTCACTGTTCTTGATGGTGAGATCAGGAAGAAAAAGGGGAGACGTTGTAGAAGCAAAGGAAATGGGAACAGTCCATCAGATTCTTTCTTCCAGCTAATCCTCTCAACAGCCTTCAGGGTTCTCAATGCCCCAGGGGACTTCGAGGTGTTTCCTTTGCCTCCACTTTCCTTTGGTCTGTGAAAAAGAAAATAAAAACATAAACATTGTTATAAAAAATAAGTCAAGCCTGTAAAGCAGTTTCCAGCCCTGGGTTTCTGAAAGAGGCTTCTGATGGACAGGTTGGAAAGAACGTGGAATCTTGGATTCACATTGAAACATTTGCCAATTATTCACATTTCCCCAGAAGTCCAACATAGGAGCCTTAGATTTATCTAACCCTTTTGGAAACCAATGCTTTAAATATATAAATATGCATGCATGTTTATAAGCGTATGCTTATGTTTATATATGTTACATATAATGTATTATGATATAATTAAATATCTAAATATATGGATTATGTAAATAATAAAACAATTAAGAATATGGGTTAATATGAATTGGGGAAGTAATGCTCAATTAAAAACAAAACAAAAACATTAATTATACTTAATTCATATCTGAGATATCTGAAATAGTCAAAATCATAGGAACAGAGAGTTCCTATGGAACAGAGAGTTCCAAAGATCATCTGATCTTTGCTTTTGCTGGGGAGAGAAGGAAATGGGAAGTTGTTCAATGGGTGAAGAGTTTTGGTTTTGCAAGATGAAAAAATTCTAGAGATCTGTTGCCCAGCAATATAAATATAGTTAATAAGACTTAACTGTACACTTAAAAGTGGTTAAGATATTAAATATTGTGTTATGCATTTTACCATAACTAAAATTAATTAATTAATGAATCTTGAACCAAAAGACATCTCAACATGCATTTTTTCTAAACATCTTGAGACTTGCTAAGTATTTCATTCAGTGCTACAAACATTTCTGTATTTGTCTTCCTTTTCTATATATATTTTTATACTACATTTTTTATGTGTCTGTGTTCTCTCTTTAAGACTTCACATGTATTTTTGTGTCAGAAACTATTTTTTATTGATCTTGGTAATCCCAACCCTTAGTACAGCACATGCTGCAAAACTGACTCTGAGAAAATGCTCAGATTGAATGAATGAATGAATAAATAAGTCAGAGTTAAAGCATCAATCAATATACCTTAGAGACTTTTAGAAACACAGTGCCTAAAATAACTATGTGATAAAATGCATATGTTAATTAGCTTCATTTAGCCAATTCACTATATATATATATAAAACTATATATATATATAAAGTTTTACAGGATAAATATGCACAATTTTATTTGTCAATTAAAAAAATAAAAAAGAAACAGTTTCTGATTGTTGGTTAATTTGACACTGTTTTATTGCTATTTTAGGTGGTATTAATGACAATCACTATCTAAAAACTCCAGGTGGGCCTAAAAAGACTGTTAGGTAATTAACAGATGTTACTGCAGTGTCCTGTTGTTTGTGAACGCAACTGTTTCTACAATCCAATACCAAACACATGCTCCAGGCATTATTTCAGGTGATTCTGCACATCTTCCACTTGCTAATCTAATCTTCCTGTCAACCCTAAAAGATATGTGTTATTTTCTCCATTTTTCAAACAAGGAAATTGAGGCACAAGGAAGGAGAGTAACTTGTGGAAAGTAACACAACCATAAAGTAAATCTCTTTGAAATTTCTATGTTAACATGCAGAAAGGGCACAGTCAGCTTGATGAATTTTTCCAAGTGTAGCTGGAATCAGATAAGAAGTTAAAACATCATCATCACCGTAGAAGTTTCCCTCCTGCTCCTTCTGGGTTACACTAACTATTCAAGGTAACCAAAGCATAGTTTTGCATCTATTTGAATTTTAAATAAATGTTTTTATAGAGAATGCAATCTTACATAGTCTGGCTTCATCCACTCAAGAAGGTTTGGGTTTCATTCATGTTGTTGGGTGTAGCAATAGTTTATTCATTTCAGTTGCTGTTTAAAGTTCCATTCTATAGAGGTAATGCAATCCAACCCTTCTACTGTAGATAGATTGACATTTGGGCTGTTTCTCATTTGGGGTTCTTCCAAATAATGCTGCCACGAACATTTTGAACATGTCTTTTGGTACACACATTCACACAATTTTGCTGTATAAATACCTTGGAATGAAATTATTGGGTTGTAGGAGATCTTGAATTGCACTTCAAGCTAGGCATGGTAGCTCATACCTGGAGTCTTGGCTACTCAGGAGCCTGAGGCAGGAGAATTGCTTGAGGCTGGGAGTTCAAGACCAGCCTGGGCAACATAGCGAGATTGTCTATGATAATGATTTTAAAAATTAGCCAGGCACAGATGCACATGTTGCCTGTAGTTCCAGCTAGTAGGGAGGCTGAGTTGAGAGGAATGCTCGAGGCCAGGAGTTTAGGACTAGCCTGGGTGATATAGTGAGATTCCATCTCTGGAAAAAAATGTCAAGTCTGTGGCATATCCTTATATTTTATTAAATAAGTTATTCATTTAGTCATTTCCACATTCAAGCTTTTATTTGCTGTGTATATGTGTGTAGGCACATATATGTATGTGTGTATGTTTGTTGATATATATATATATATATATACACACACACACACACACACACACACACACACACACACAGAGAAGATAGAGTTTGTTATGCTCTAGGGACTGTGCAAGTCCTGAAGATAGGATGATAAAACCATCTGAACCTGTTTTTTACCCTCATAGAATTTATAATTCAATAGTTTGATTCACTGTAGTTAACCAAGAGGAAAAAAACAATGACAGATTAAGAAATCTAAATTTCCTATCATGCACAGACGCAACTGGACTAGCTACAACAAATTGAAATGACAAAAATAAATAAATCCCATCATAATTTCTTGCATTTATATAAGCTGAACTATTTATTCCTTGTACTCCCTATAAATGTACCCCATACTAGTCTTTATGTCAGAGAGGGTCCCCAGGGTAAATAACCTTTCATGACCAAGAATCTCTACAGATTGCCAATGATTCAAAGTTTAACTTTAACATCCTATGGAGGTAGCATAACACATGGTGGAACATTATTACCAGTACACCCTGGCCAAGAAGACTCACAAAGACCAGATTTAATCAGGGTTCTATAACAGCCATTGTGCATGCTCTTTCATCACCTGTTGAAACTTTCCGGGGTTCAGTTTCCATCTGTAAAACAGTGATTGAACCAAGTGAACACTAAGGGCTTTTCAAGCTTTCACATGTCATACTTCGGTTTATGGCTTACAGTCTGGCATTATTTGAATTATGGTGCAAAAATTCCACTTTTAGGAAAACTATTTACAATATCCTGATGTAGCCCTTTAAGAGAAAATCTGATTGGGTTCATTTTAAAATACATTGAATAATATTTTTAAAATGCAATAAATTTCTAGTAGTTTCTCTTAGTTTACCTTTGGTTCATTTATTTAATATAGATAGTGAAGGTCTAATGAATCATTTCTAGGTTATCTTACTTATCTGTTTCACTATGTTGTCATCACCGAGTGTAAATGACTTAACAAATACTATATACATTAAGTGGACAACAAAGGTCTGCCTAAAATTTTAATGACAGCTACAGCACACACACACTCATACACACATTCACACTCACACACACCTTCACACACACACAAATAGTATATCGAGCTCCATATCTTCAGCTCTCATAAAATATAATTTTTCTCTCATATTTTTTCTGGATGCCATCTTCACTCAATAAAAAAACACATTTCTGAAGCATTTAGTGTGAGTTGCTATTTATGCCAGTCAATAATTCACATCATCTGCAAAAAACATGTTTATATCCTTTCTGCACCCTTTATAGATGAAAGGAAGGAATTTGTGTGCTAAAATGGCTTCATGTGCCCAAATCATGCAAATTCGCTAAGCCATTTCCTAAGATTTGCAGATGTGTAAATTGCATCTTTTTTTTAAAGAGTAGGTATACAACGGTATGAATCTCAAATCAGCTTTTGTCCCACCTCATAGTTCTTCAAATGATGAGAACTGATTTATTATAGAGGCATTGTCAAATTCTGAATGGAGTCTAATCTTCCATTTTAATATTTTATGAGGCAACTGGGTAAAAGAATTTGCAAATGCAAAAGATGTGTGTCAGTGTATGTATGCACATACGCTTACATAATATATGCATATATGTCTCTCTAATGGGGGCCAGATCTCATGCAGCATCAGTATGACTTGAAAAATCCTCAGGATGTTGGCACTGAATAGGGAAAAGACTGTGTTTAATAAAATCCGGACAGTATGGCAAGGTTGTGCAAAGTGTCTTGTACATAAAAGACACTCAATAAAATGTTTTCTTATTCCCACAAGATCTTGGGATCACTATCTCTTCGAACTTATAGCTGCCAAATAAAGAAGGGATGTTTTAAGTTTTTAGATTCTCTGTGCCTATTTTATTGTATTTATTTTTATATAGTATAAATAGAACCACTTTACCCATTTGAGGGGAAATCACCTTTTCAAGTCAGAGAAGCATAATTCTATGGAAGAGAAGTTATTCCAAATGATATCCTCATGGCTTAGAAACAACTGTTACTTTCTTCCTCAATGAGTTTGTGGTGGCCCTTAAAAATCACATTAGCCTTTCCTGATAGAATGCTTTGGGCTTCTTTTAAAGCCATTCCAATGGAAAATAATAATAGCATCATGTTTGAATAAAAGGATGATAAATACTGAACATGTTGGGGAGGGATATGGATAAATTATGACTTCCTAGTAGCCATCCTGGACAAAACAGAAGACCATAACTCCTTTGTCTTTTCCAAAGGAAGAATCAAAGGACAACGGAATCTCTTTGAGCCCTTTTCACGTTTTCTGAGTAGTTCCCTTTTTTTTCTCCCAAATATCCATTTTCACTGCTCAGTAACTTCCTGAGCCATGAATGAAATACACAAAACTGACAAGAAGCACTGCAGTTCTCTACGTATGACTTGAAACAAGATTTTGTTTGAACCTAGGATAAACAGGCCATGCTGAATGACTTGTATGAGTTTTCTGCCTGCCCTGGAGAATATGTATGCTCCTGCTTTCTGAAGGATTTCCTACCTGTCCCCAGGTGCCTCATGGCTGGAGATCAGCAAG